AGATAGATAGATAGATAGATAGATAGATAGATAGATAGATAGATAGATAGATAGATAGATAGATAGATAGATAGATAGATAGATAGATAGATAGATAGATAGATAGATAGATAGATAATTTATAGATAGATATAGCCTTTTTTTAGAGTGAAGTTTTAATATGGATTGTTACTATATATTTCATATATTTGTACAATTTCAGACACATATACAGCGTTTAACATACGGTAATATGACACGCAAAGCACCTTTTTTGCTCTTATTATCCCAACTCAATTTAAAACAAGCTGAAACATCACAATTCCTGAGATTTGTTTGGGACAACTTAATTCTTTTATGCTCAATCTACTTAAATCTGTAAAAACAATTATGTTAACTTAATCGATCTGTGGTGGGACAACATGAAGGAATGTGTGGAACCCTGAATTATTTGTTAACAGTGAGTTGGTGGTGTTTCCCTTTAAAGGCTTCAGGTCAGACACACACACATTTGGAAAAGATATTCGGCACTTCAAGCATTTCCCGTTACACGAAACAGCTGCTGAGAAACGGCCTGTGAAGAGCAGACTGACCTGCACAATAATCACCAACTATCAACGCAACAAAATACCACAACAACATATAAACACACCCATTATCAAAATTACCGTTTGTATCCACTTCTTAGTTAATATAGACAGTAATCTAGTAGTGTATTTTAACAAAATAGCTTTATTAAAGATATATTCATTAAAAAAAAGAGAGTTTAGTCAACAAACATCTTGAGGAATCAAATATAATACAAATAAAAATAAATATAATTGTAAAAATAAAACTAAAATGTATATTTTTATGCTTATCTTGATTTTTTCATGCTTATTAAAAAAACATTTCATTTGATTTCCAGTCATATTAATTTTATATAAATGTTTGCACTGTGATCCTCACTGTTTTTTTTAGATTAGTTCATCAGATTTGTCTTTTCTACTGATTAATCTAATGTATCTGCCCAGATATATTACTGTAAATTAAAATACTGTAAAGAAGATTTGTGAGGGCTCAACTCATCTGATCAGCACTGTATATAAACAAATCCAGATATGCATAATACACACATTTAAGCATGCAAACGAATATTTCCCAGTGCAGATTTTAGACTGTGTGTGTGTGTGTGTGTGTGTGTGTGTCTGCGGTGTATGAGCGCGAGACCACCAACACACACAGCAGAGCCCCGAGAGACCACCGACACACACACAGACACACACTCTCCCATAAACACCAATGCAACTGACTTTAAAACGGCACTCCAACTAATGCTTGGTTGTCGTAACAATCCAGCGTCGTGTAAAGTATGAACGAATACAACATTGGGTTATTTTTGTCAGTTTTATTCAAAGTATTTAACTCAACAGATGTTTGTATTTGACCCAACATTGGGCTACGACAACCAAGCATGTTTTTAAGAGTGAATTTGTACAGACACACACACAGTGATTGACGTTTGCGCTGGCAATTTAAACAATACTAGAAAATAAGCTGGGTTAATAATGGGTTAAACTTAATTCGCACTGAATTTAAATGTCACTTTGTAACCAAGCGGATCCGTTCGTCTATATTAGATTAAAACAACCCAGCAAGCTTTATTAAACACTCTTGTTCTCAGCATTTACTCAAGAGACCCTCAGAGCCGAGTGTGTAATAGACACACATGTTTGGATTGTTAATCAATACGCAAACATTCCACTCGATTAACACTCCAGCACTGAAGATCCCATTCACACCAAACAGCTGATAAAACACACATTCTGCGCATTAAACGTGAGCTACGCACACTTTTAACCCAACGTTGGGTCAAGCACGCACCATTGAGTTCGTTTTTAAATTAAACACAGCTACAATACACTTTTCAAACCAATGTTTTGTTCATATTGACCCAACCATTGGGATAAAACAACCCAGCACTCTTAAGAATGCAAAGTGATCTTGTAAATGAGATTAAACTGGGATTTTAGAGAGAATATTTTAAAGTATTTATATTACTATTTAGACACAGGGTGGCTTTAATTAAACGTTGGGTCAAATGTGAACAAACCAAACTTTTGGGTTTAAAAGTTTAAGACATACTTTAGTTTTTTTAATTAACCCAACATTTGGGTTTGTGCATAAAGTTAAAGAAATCAGCATGTTAAATCCACCCAAAGTGTTATCAAGAAATGAATGAAGGGAATATTTTGTCGTTTTTTAGATTACAACTCTATTTCTTTAACTCAACATTGGGTCAAATATTCACGAAACCCAATTTTATTAATTTATTTTTAAGTTTTACACGTTTTCCACCCCACATTTTTAGCGTATTTTAGATTAATTCACAGACTCTGAGTTGTTTCAACTCAACGTCGGGTCAAATATGGACAAACACGCATTTATTTTACAGTTTACACTTGTTTAGACTTTTCAACCATGCGTTTTATTGTTAGAATTCACTTTCTAGCAAATATAAAATTAAATCCCATCGCATTACCTTTGCAGACCCGCTCCAGTCTTCATCAGTGTGTGTGTGGCCTTACGGTGATCCCAAAAAACTCCACTTTTTTCCCTGGAAAACTTGCGGAGCTGAAAGCCGAGAGCGTCCCGATGGGGGTTCGAGAATTTCCAATAAAGCCCCTCTTTCTCCTCACACACACACACACAGTCACACACACGCTCACACAGATGTTGTTAGAGGCGCTAAATGTGTGAATGAATCTTCTCCGCTGAATATTTCTCAGATGAAGACAAACTCCGCTGAAGTTTGGTGTAAAGTTGTGTTTTAGGGGAGAGTTTCCATATTGAGCTGCAGCGCGAGAATGCGAGTCCTCCTCCTCCTCCTTGCAGACTCCTGGACCACCCCGAAACAGGAAGTTCACTTTTTGTTTTTCTTGAAGGGGAAGAAAAAAAAGAGAGAGAAAGCCCTGCTGGACAGCGTCATTCCTGCAGCATCTCTGACTCTAAAACTTTCATTATGATGAAGAGAATGATGATGATACTAATAATTATACTAATAAATAATAATAATAATAATTTAATTGAAATTGTATTAATAAAAACAAATAATGATAACTGAATTAAAATAATAATAATGATAATAATAACAAAATAATAATAATAATTGGCCTAGATTTGAAGTTGCAAATTAAATTAATAGAAAAAATAAATAAATAATAATAAAAATAATAATAATATTAATAATAAGAAAAATTATTATAATAATAAGAAATATTAATAATTATTATTATTGCAATTGAACTGATAATAACAACAACAGCAACAGCAATGATAATTAATAATAATAATAATAATAATAATATTAATAATATCAATAATAATAATAATAATAATAATAATAATAATAGCAATCGAATAATTTATAATAATAATAATAATAATAATAATCATAATAATAATAATAATAATAATAATAATAATAATAATAATAATAATAATAATAATAATTGAAATCAAAATAATCCAAAAAATAATTTAAATTGAATAAATAAATATTAAAAATGCAGGGTTGTTTTAACTATAAAATTTAGCCACACATGCACAAAACTAAACGTTAGCTTTTGCATATTTGATCCACCCAGTATTTTTTAGGATGGTAATAATAAGGATGAATGTACTCGCAAAAATTTTTTTACAGAAATTTATAAAATAGTCATTTATAGTAGACACTACAGTGTGTTTGAACCAAACAAATGAACCAACAACACACTGTAGTTACCTACCCTGAGTTTACTGTAGGGTGTGTAGTACTCTACTATACGGAGAGATTTGTTTGAAAAGGCCAAATTAATCCATGTTTTGGCTGAATTTTTGTTGCATTTACATTGTTTTGACCAGCAGGTGTCACTAGCATGTTATGTTCTGAACATTTTGAAATTCTTCTTTAAATAGCTTAATTTTCCCACCGCTACCTTAAACCACCAGTAGGTGGCGACAAGTGCATTTATTAATTTATGCATTTGTACATTTACTAAAAAAATACGTTCATAACAGCTGATACATTAAAAAGTAATGCAATGAATAATCCTAAATTACATACTTTTTAAGTAGGAATAATATTTATATTTGCCTTCACAGCAATTGGAAAAGTTGTGAACAAATATTTTTGTATATGCATATAGTCGGGATAAACTTAAATCTATGTGAACAGGAGTTTTTTATTTCAATATTTTAATGTTAGTCCATTTAAAAAAGAATATTGAGCAGGGGGCGGGGCTTTCTTTGTGCTTAACTAATGGTAAGAGGGGCGTGGCTTAGAGTATTGTGGCTGAAGTGTCAAACTGACATCATCAGAGTAAAAGCCAATCCAAACGCAGAAAAGGTTTCTGATGAAGATTACCAAAACGAACAGAATTAATTTTTCACCTAAAGAATAAAAATATGTGCTAGCAAATTAAACATTGTAAATTGATTTTAGCTTGCACAGATTAATTGTTTACCTAGAATAATATGCACTTGCAATATTAAGTATATTGAATATTGAAAATTTTATTTTTAATGTTATTAAATAAACATTGGAAATAATTAATTTCACACAGACTTTAAATTGGTAATACCTTTTAGTGTGAGTAGAACTTGGGAAAATAACATGTGGGTTTGGGACCCTCAAATTAATTTTGACAGCAGTATGATCAGGTTGTATCAAAACATCTGAGTGATCATTCATTCATTCATTCATTCATTCATTCATTCATTCATTTTCTTTTCAGCTTAGTCTCTTTATTAATCTGGGGTCGCCACAGTGGAATGAACCGCCAACTTATCCAGCATGCTTTTTACATAGCGGATTCCCTTCCAGCTGCAACCCATCTCTGGGAAACATCCACACACACACTCATTTACACTCATACACTACAGACAATTTAGCCTACCCAATTCACCTGTACCGCATCCGGAGAAGACCCATGCGAACGCAGACATAGAAATGCCAACTGACCCAGCCGAGGCTTGAACTAGTGAGTTTCTTACTGTGAGGCGACAGCACTACCTACTGCGCCACTGCGTCGCCTAATCCGGGTGATCAATAAAACAAAATTTGTCTCATAATACAGTCCTTGTCTAATGCATGTATGCCTCTTTCCCTCATTTCCGTCTCTCTCCAGCAGTAGTTCGACCCCTTACTAGTCTGCATTCAGTGCTGCTGAATGAGCACTAGATGGTCTGCAGGGTTTGTTGTCGACTGATAAGGGCTGAAAGCACAGACTGAGCTCAGTGTGTCCGGTTACAGGTGTTTTGCTGTAATCCACTAACAAAGGCTGACCTGAAGCAAGGCTATCGGCATTTAGCCAAAGTTTTAAGTTAACTAACATTAAGCTCCACACAAACCAAAAACAACATGCTTCTCCTGCTGTTTGTCTGAGGATAGTATTGCAAATGATCATCTAGAAGTGCAAGTGATGAAGTCCAAAACATGGCTAAGCAAAGATGTAGAGCATGTAGGCTAAATGTATAAAAACCAACCAAGAAAAGGTATTATATCTTGCATTAATATCATTTGTGCAAGTGGAATTTAATTTCTAAGTAGGCTTACATTCATCTATATAGTTTTAGTAGATTATTTTTATGGTTGTAAATACAAATTTTACTCTAATTTCACTATAGTATCTGAACACTGTTATTAATAACTATCCGCCTTGTAGTTTTGGAGGGAGAGAGAGTACAGCGCATGCGTGTGTTTAAAATCTACCGTTAAACCGCCGTTTTAAATATTATCGTAAGTCGCATTGATTTACTCACTCGCGACGACACTTAATCGTATTAGTTGGTACTTTAGCGTCGGATCGAAACGCTATCGAGATTGAGAGTCAAACATTATTATACTTTATAGCGTTCTTGTGGTTTTATTAGTGCTGTCATGAAAATTACGTTATTTCCATGAACAGTCACGTGACATTCTCAGGAGCTCAAGTAAACAAAGAAGGCAGCAATAAAGGTTTGTGATGTTTAGTGATAAAATACTTAATTCTTTGAACCCACTGAGGGAAATCCATCCGTAAATAGCTTCCTCACAATGTATGTGTTGACTTAAGACGTCTGAATGTCATTATAAAATGACATCTTTTTTCTAAAAGCCTACAACAGATTCTGAAGTAATGTTGAAGAGTTTGATCACAGTAAGTAAATTACAGTTTTGCTTATTTTATTTTATAGAGAAGATGCAGTGTGGTGTATTAGGTGTGTGATTAAGTAAAATGAAGTATTTATATTTTCTTTGAGATTAAATTTTTTAAATCTAGTTCTGTTTTAAATACAATTTTGCTTATTGTTATTTTAAATGTTTGCAACATGGTGTGTTTATAAAGTTTTAAATGTTATTAATGTACTGTATTTATTTATTGATTTGCTATATTTATTTATTTTAATCTAGTTCTATTGTTGTTTTTGTTGTTTTTATCTGTTTATGTGATGTGTTTTTGCAACTTGACACAACCTATTACCTCAAAAACAATTGGTTAAAAGACAAGGCGTCCCATTTTGGTCAATACATCCAATTAAATTTACAGAATTTTTTTTATGCTCATAAAACACATTAAATGCAAGTAAAATGTCAGTAGACCATTTCAATGTGGTCATGTCATTGGCTCATGAACATTTCCTACTTTTTATCAAACTAATTCAAAACTGTAACCAGAGCAAATTCCATCATAACTTAATGTTAAAACAGCCATCATAACATTATTCATCAATATGTGACTCTTTTTGGATTCTCGGAGGCTATAGAAATTTAAAATGTAAAACAAGACATACATTGGGTCCATTGTTTTTGTTTAAATCCCTCAAAATGGTCTATATTACCGTTTCAAATAATTCTGTAAAAACAAAAATGTTGACAATTTTCATTACCATTCAGCATATAGCAGATATATTTGTCAAAAACTGAAGGAAACAAACTCTATTTCGGAGCTGTACTGTTTAATATCAAAACATAAGTGAGCATACTAAATGTGATTCCGATTGAAATAATGAAAATCTTCTTGTTGTCAAATTTAAAGCACAAATACTTTCGCTAAAAATTAATTAGCATTAGGGCTGTTATATATCGTTTTAGCATCCATATCGCAATGCACGAATATGCAATTGTCACATCGTAGAATCTGCAATGTTATTAACCAGGAAACAAAGTTTAACCCTTCTATAGTGAATAAACACATTTTAAGGCATGCGACTATACAATTTAAACCATTTAGACACAAGAAATGATAAAATATGTAGCTTCAACAAAGATTAATTCTATTTTTTATTACAATGAAGAATAAACAGTGTTATTTTACATTTGACTGCACTGTTTGATTACATTGTTAAATTATTTTTGCACCAATAATGTTAGAATATCCAGAAAACCGTAAATCACTGTCTATTTCATGTGCATCTTCTATTGTATTCATTTATGCATGTAATTTGTTCATTACACTGAAATATTCTTGCTGGATATTTTGGCTGATTGTTTGAAATGAACTTTCTTGAGTTTTCAAGAATTTAGTTTATTTATTTTAACAACTTCATTGTGTTATGTTCAGTCCACTCAAATTTGTTGAACCAGTTAAGTTAACCTAATCAATTTGTGTTGGGACAACATGGAGGAATTATGTGAAACTCAGCATTTTTGTACTTTGTATAATAATTTAAAAACATTACATTAATAAATGCATTATGCAAAATGATCACAATGTAAAATTATGAATCCTTTTCAAATATTGATAAATCATTATACACTCTTATTAGAAAAAATGGTACCATGTTGTACCAAAGAAGGTGCAAACC